GCACGAAGAGAGGTTTACCTATTTTTTTCATGTGAACAAAATCAAGGACGAGCACAAGGTACGTGCATACTTGAACGTGATAGGGCCCAAGTCATATGGCCTACTGAAGTCTTTGATGGCGCCAGCTAAGCCGTTATACCCAACGCTCGAGCAACTGAAAGAATTGCTGCGCAACCACCTGACGCCAAGAGTGTCAGTGGTAGGAGACCGAGTTAAATTTCAAAGCCGAATGCAACTCGAACATGAAAGCATCGCGCAATATGGAGCAGAGCTGCAAACACTTGCTCTGACCTGCCATTTCGTCACCATTTTGGATGAATCACTTAGACAGGTTTGTGTGCGGTTAATTCTGTGCCGACGCATATCGGTACTTATTGCTGAAGACAAAACATTCAACTTTCGAAAAGCCGTTGAACACGTACTCGCTTTGATGAAGCTAATAAAAATGACAAGGAAGCACATTTAAAAGATGCGAGTGAAACCCTATTTCGACAGACCGAGGTTTACCGTCTACGAGTGGTGCCTGATGCATGAAACGCGAGTGTTCGTGCTGCCGAAGCTACAAGGCCGCCGCTGTTGCCACTGATGTCACAAGCTAGAACGTTATCAGAAAGGCTGCAATGGTGAAACCCACGATCCGCCCAGCCAGAGAAACATCATGACTGCCTACCAATAAAGCATTTCGCAGCATTCACCGCTTCTTGCCTGTATCTGCACACGGACACAGCCTAATGCCACAACAAAAAATATTGGTAGGTCGCAAGAGGACCGTCCTCGAGAAGTAGCAAGTAACATCAGAACATAATGTGAATTTGTTTCATATCTGATGAGACTTCATTGAGGTCAACGAAAAATATTCCTAGAATTTTTACGGCAGTTCCTAAGCAACTTTACAAAACCTTTTGTCCAACTTTTAACATGATAGCCTCGAAATCATGAAATGATCTCTTGAAAGAACCACGGTTTAAATTCAAGAAGATTTTCACTTCGGGGAGTGAAGAGCAGATCGTTTAATCATTTCCCAGCAAAATGTAGCGTGAAAATGAACGTCATGTGACTTTTGTTAATTTACGTCATAATATCACGTAATACCAAGATTGACATCATGACATCATTGCGTCACGGGAACTGACAACAAAAAAAATAAGTCACATGACTTCAATTTCCACGCTGAATTTAGTGGGGATTTCGGATTTAAAGTATCAGCTCGTGGTGGCACACGATACCCTGATGTCACATCACGTTGATTTGCACCCTGAATTTAGCAGAAAGTGCACGGACGGACAGACGGACGGACAGACGGAAACAAATTTATGATTATGGTTTCACTAAAATGCATTCCATGCTCTAAAGACGCTTTCACTGGATGCAAAGCGGTCCAAAATACTGTTGCATTTCAACGACAATCTACGCAGCCATTTTGACCACTGGTTTCTGGGCGTTATTGGTTTAATCAGTGTTAGCAAACACAAAGGCGACAAGGGCCGTGACGATGCACATTTTGCGATGATAGATTGGCTCCATCTTATCAAAGGGCCGGCCATAAGCGGACTTATGTAGAACAAAGTATAGAAGCGTAAGCCCTGTACACATTTTTTACTCTTAGTGAAATGGATAACTAAAGTGCTAAAGTTATTTAAATTAAAACTTTATAAGAGAGCCCCGCAGCACATGGGCCACACGATATGAGCAATTTCTTGATCATACATTTATTTTCTGTTGAACAAGTTGTGCGGTAAATGTGAACCGTAGCATGTAGAAAAGACAGAAACAGGAACATTTAAGACATCTGCATATATATTCAAGGTTATTGTAAAGGAAAAATGTGTTATCAACGAACAGGTACTGCCGTGTATGTAGTACGCACGTATTTTGAACAACAACAATTTGAAACGAAACCGGAACAAACTGGACGCTGGAAGGAATATCTTAAAATTTATCCTTCTTTAAACTTAGAAATTGTACCTGCCCTTTCAATGTAGTCCTAAGAGACGTGCTTCTCTAAAATAAGCTAAATCTCCTAACAATGGAGACGTCGGCGGCTACTTTGAGGCTTCAAGAAAAATTCTGCTTGAACAAACGTCACGAGTTGAGAAAGTCAGCCAGTCGCGATGCACCTCGCAATGTTCATGGAACGCCAACGACGCAAGGCTCGCCGTCCTCTAACAGGAACGAGCGCATTCATCCACCTGCGAAAGCGAAGTTGATATGGGAGAAGCGCGAGATTATGTTGTCTGTTCTTAGGTTTAGAAGTACAGGTGATCTTCCCAAAAAGCCTTGTTTTCATTTTCAACGCTATACCTCCGCTGGCCGTGTGAACAAAAAAGAAAGCCCTGTTTGCAATTTTGTTCGCTTTTCGCAAAGGGAATATTTGAGTCGCTTATATTCGTATTGGTAATATTTGAGTCGCTTCTGTTCGCACTAGCAGTATTTGGCCTACTAAGATTGAACAAATGCGAGGGAAGTGGTGACGAGTTTTAAAAGTAGGGGATTAATCTGCCTCTCATTAAAACATACTACACATTTTCGGTCCCGCTCTAGCAAACTTAAGAGCGGACGTGCTCGTCGAAGTGCGACTGAAACATCGTTGTCGGTATAGCCCCTTCAGTGAAATAGCGGTACACTCTAATATGCTCTAGGCTGACTTTCAGAAATAAAAACTCGCAAGAAACGCAAGGGTGTCAATTCAGATATATTAACATTTTTGTTGTACAGGATTTTCGAGAAAAATAAAAGGGAAGTGCATGAAGGAAAACGGACTTGCCTTACATGGCAGGCTCGCGTTCTGTGTTCGCTTCCAAAAGCACTGCTTTTTGTGGCAATAAGGCATGATGAAAGGGCTTACTGCATCGAGAGCCTCAATGAAAAACAGCTTTAATCGCTAGTCACTCGACAAATGGGTGCACTCACCCAAGGCATCTTTCGAAAAGGGTAAAAACGCTTTTTACATACCATTGTGTATGCGAATATATCATCATTTGTTGTAAAAAAAGCGTAATAGTATTTTTTTTTATCCAGTAGCGATAAAAGTACCCGAATTAATCACTGCACATATCCTATATTTGACAGTACGAAAAGTTAAAGCTGCGCAATGTTGATTTCCCTTGTTTGAGGGCTGCGTTTAAGGCATTTCTTCATAAAAATAACGTAGAATTTATTATAAAATATGAAGCTACAGCCAAAAGTTGCTTAAAATGGACGTTGGGATACAATAGACAAGCTCATGAATGTATTAAAATGAGAAATTTATTAATTTGAGACAAAAAGGTAAGCTGTCAAATTTGAGGAAAGATGTTCCTTTTTTTACAAATCGCAACTGCGGTCGACGCATTCCGTGCAAAAGACATCGTTTATACACTGTGAACCGTTCGAATAGTTAAAGCTCGCCTCTTTCATCTGTCAAATCCGCGTGTCCCAGATGTAACAAGACCTGTAGGATACAAGGGTCTTCGGGGTTTCAATGGTAGATGGAAAGTATGCACTCGAAGTGACAATTATAGTGTGCACCTAATTTGTTTTTAAGAGAGCGAAGCTTGCTTTGTTTAAGTAGCATTCCAAATACCTTCACTTCCTTCCACCCCTTTCCCAAAGAAAAAAAAAGTTTGGAGTTAGTTCGGCGTAAAAAGGACAAGAAAGCCTAAATAATAGTGCTAAAGCTCTTCTGGTAAAGCGCTGATGACTTAACCCAAGAGAATTATGTTTTATGAGAACCTAAAAAGGAAAGAGAAAAGACAAGAAAAAGGCGCTAACGCTTTTTAGTCGCTAAGAGATTTCAACATGCAAAAAATATCCTTGAATTCTGGAAAGGCACTGGCTCGATTCATACTTGCGCTGTTCAAGATGCGAAAACTCAGCTATTTATAAATCCCTATTCGTAGGCGTTGGTTGCGCGAAATCACGTATTTAAGGAACCCAGCCTATTAAAAAAAAAGACCGCGTAGAAGGGATTTCCGTAAGCATGTATGTAGACATGTCTGTATGTATATACCTATGTGTGTGAGTGTGTATATATGTATGTATGTATTATGTATGTATGTGTGCGCGACCGCGCGTTTGTGTACGTACGTGCTTGTGCGCGCATAGGTTTATCATGTTTCTCCGTAATAAACTAAAGCATAGTGATTATAACTTACGCAGGGTTACAGTGAACCCAGAAAATTAATTTCGGAATAGCACAAGGCATGGAAAGAATAAAAAAATTCATCCGTTGGCTAGTTAAACTCAAGTTTTCTTTTTCTTTTTTGTCAGGTAGCGCTTAACGCAAATGTTACCGAATATATGTTGATACTGCCGTTGCCAAAAACGAACACAAGATTTGCTCTACGTAAACATATATATATTAAAACACTTAGTTTGGTTAAAACATTTATATTTTTGTAGCGAAACATTATTTTGTTTTTTGTTTCGGTGTACTCTCAGTAATAAGTCAAAGACAACTCTAAAATTGTGGTAAAATATTAAATGTGCTGAGTCACTGATGTCTGAGTATTTTGCACTGGAAAAAAATGAGGTGTTTCATTCAATTATTTTACAATTGTTCTAAAATGGCATACATGGGTATAAAACTTTATTGTAGGTAATTGCTTTGAATCGCTAACAAAACTCCCTTGATTATATGCCTTTCAGCACTTTAACCACGCACCAAACTATTAATTGAATACGCCAACCCAGTTGTCAGTAGCATATCACAAATTACATAAGAATTGATAACTCTTTTTCGAGTAGATACGGAATGTTCCCAATCAGGATACTCAAAGTAAGAATATATGCTTAGAGGCGTCCGGCATAATACGCAGTTGATATCGAAGTGTTTTTGAGGGAGTAAATGATGGCAATACTTACGACACATTTCTAAAAATCGCTGCAATCTTGTGTAGCAACACAAAATTACATCGATTTTTCAATACATAGCTACGTGATCGTAACGTGCGACAGTATACGCGACGAGCGACGACGGCGATTGGCAGGTTTAGACATTTACAATCATCACCATTTTATGTTTAGTGGACACCTGCCTTTTGACCCTGGGTTTTCAGGGTAGGCGTGACAAAATATACCAAGAAGAGACAGTTCGAAAACGGTTGCAAATTCTAGAGAAAAAAAAAAAAAAACCAAACAGCTGACCCCGCCAGCGTCTTTCGATTGACAGCGCCAGCTTCATAAACACATCCCGAACGCGTTTGTCCTTGAGTGCAAACGACAACGCTGTCGTCGGCTGACATAACAACAACGTCGCTTTGACAGGGAACAGTCGTATAACAATCGAGGCTGTCAGTCTTTCAATCAACGGCATGACAAAGCACAAACAAAAAGAGCAGTGAGAACACGCGCGATGCGTCGGTTCTCGTAAACCCTGCTCCTTCTCAACAGTCGTAGCATCGACTCACCTGTGGCAGACTCAGCAGCGCGCTTAGTACCCACACCGCCAGGATGAGTCTCTTTGTGCACTTGCGATTCCTGGCACGCTCCATGGGGTACCTCAGCGCGAGAAGCTGATCATAACCAATCACCACAAGGATGAACGTGGACAGGTAAAGCGAAAACATCTGCATGTACTTGAACAGCTTGCAGAGAAGGTCTCCGCCGAGCCACTGCACTGTGGCCGTCCAGGCGGCCTCGGCCAGCACACACCAGGCCGTCACGAGCAGGTCGGCCACGGACAGGTGCGCTAAGAGCAGGTAAAGAGACGAGCGCGCCGCACGGCTCATGTGCCAGATGGACACGAGGGTGGCCGAGTTGCCCACAAGCGACAGGGTCGCGATCACCAGGAGCACCACCACGCGTACCAGGGCGCCCGTCGTGAGCGTAGGGGCCGAGGGGGCCTCGGTGGCATTTTCCGCCGATCCGTTGCTGGCGTTAACGGAGAGACAGGTGACGTTGACGCACATCGGCCAGACGAAGTTGTCCTGGAGCTCGTGTCCCATGTTGGGCCAACTCCGGTCCGGACGCGGGGCATGCCAGCCACGGTCCGCGCGTCGAGAGTGCTGTGTGGTAGGGGGTTCTGCGCTCTCACGGTCGGTGGAAACGTGGGCGAAGCGGAGGGGTACTCCGGCCTTCGCCCTCTCCGCACATCGGCCGCTTGAAACGAGTACCCGCGGAGTTTGCCGGAGAGTTTTCCTCGGGGGCGCACAGATGGAGCCACGGGCGCTCGGGACTGGAGAGGGGGTGGGAGCTGAGAGAGGTCGCTTCCTCCGGATCGCCTCACCGGTACACGGGCGCAAACACGGGCTGGCTTTTCGACGGCGTACCTGTTGTTGGCAACGTGCTCGTTCGGTCATCAGATCCGGTGCATTACGAGTTGTGCTCTCGCGAATTCAAGGAACCGCGCGTGCGTCGCCGAGCAGTTAGGATAGGAGGCGGACTGCTTCGGTGACTGCTGCTACTGCTAAAGGCGCAAGTTTGGCGTGTGCTCAACGTTTGCATATTTAGAACATTTGCAACTTGGCAGTCACTGACAATCTCACGAACCAACCCGTTCATCCTCACTCGATGTTCTACCGTCAAATATAACACTTTTTGGTCGGACACTCTAACTTAGTGTGAGAAAATACATTTGGGCGCCGAGTTTGTATACATAAACATTCATATCATACTAGGTTATTTATTCAATTAGCGACAATTTATACATGAGTGGATCAGGCAAATGCATGCAAATTATTATTCAGAAAACGGCCAACCAACCAGCTGAAACCTTCGGCGTGCACAAACTTGTCTACACTAAAACCGACTGAGTTAAAGTAGGTACATGAAAGCACACGGTTTGCGGTTATATTTTGCAAGTTGTCCTTGGGACGTCTCCGAGTTGAGTGGATAAAAGAAAGCTGGCGCGTGAATCTTTTTACGGGACAAAAAAAAGTTCTATCTGTTCAATCGACATCTTCTGAAATTAGACGCCGTCATTGCGGAGGGCGTTAACTGCTAGTGACGAAAAAGTCATCTGTGAAATGGAAAAAAAAACTCAATAAATGATACCGAAAAATACGTCGTAACAGAATGTCTAACGCGAGATGAAGGTAAGTTGTAGATTCCCCTAAAGCGGACTGAGCGAGCGGGTCAAGATAAAGTTTACAGGCGCTGACTTAAAATCAAACTAAAAAAAAAGTTTTTTTTCTTGTTTCTTGTTTTTTTTTTTTTTTTTTAATGGCTTTTGCATCTGCCTCAGTTGGCCGAACTCAAATCGAAATTAGGTGCTAGTTTATTCCTAATAATACATGGAAGCGGATGCCCAAAACAATGTCTTTATCATGTAAATACTTCCCTATAAAACGTTTTCTGAACTCATCGGCACTCAGGTAATTGTTCTTAGCAAGTCACGTACACCACCATGAAATATAGCATTTCTTACTTAAGTTGTTCGCTCGCCCTACTTCTCGGTCACACTGCAAAGTCACATATATATTGATCTAAGGGATTCACAATGTGTTCTTCTTTCTCTAGTGCTCTTAAGCTATTTCTTCGGGTCCTATGCGCTTAACGCAATATAATTACTCTCTGGCAAGAAGAAAAAATAAAACATAAACATCAGCACCCTAAGTTGTATACTTAGGTTTCCTTATTTTGGGTGTCTATTTTTCTAGAAATTCGAGGGTGTTTTTTCTGTTTTTTGTTCGTTGATACTTTCGGTATTTTTTGGTGTAAATCGTTGCTGTTTTGCCAACAGATGGATGTACGTTAAGGCTTAACTTGTGACAAATTAGGACACGGGAATAGGATTTTCCAACTTCGAGGAAACGTACGCCCCACCCGAATACTTGAAAAGCGACCCCGTACTGAAAAGAAAAAGGTTAATAAAATATGCATGGTTCCAATGTAAGATGAAGCCTCGCTCAAAGTTCTTTGCGGGCTGTGTTTTGCGCCAAGACAAAATAAAGCTGTAGACAAAGATTTTCTTCCCTTAGAGGTTGGGATTTGTTATTAAAAGCCCGATTCATGTTTTTTCGACTTTTCTTGGTTATGATTAAACCGAATCAGCTGTGAATTGTCGGGGCTTATCGGCATATACCGAAAACGCAAAAGCCTGGTTATAGTTATAATAATAAATAAAATATTTCTACTTGCTCCAATCAATTCTCACACTTGTTCACCGACAAGGTGGGTCTGGTGAATGGCTTCGCTCACCAGGTCAAGAGGCGGGAAAGAATTAAGACCGTGGCGGCAAAACTGCGGCGGCTGACTTTAGCATTGCGGGACGCCGTGTCCGTGGAACTGCGCCGATTGGAGCAAGTTGGAATGATTGAACGGGTCGAAGCCTCTGAATGGATATATCCAATTGTGGTCGTAAAGAAAAAGTCCGTCATGAGTGACGAATTTATTCATGTCTTGCTGTTCATGTCATTGGTTATAGTTATTAGTTTGCATAAGCATCCAATTACGATGTTCTTCTACATCATTGTTTATGGGTTTAGTTATTTGATTCTGGCAAATTATGTTACATATTCTAAATTTAAGTTTCATCTGGCAATATTGCCAGATACAGCAGAAGAAACTAACACATCGTATAAGAACAAACGTTGGGGTACTCATGCCGCAACTAGGTCCGCCACTAATTTGATGAACACGCAAACGCACGGAAGCAATAAATAAACAGTACTTGTCGCGTTTATGCCTTGAAGGGACGTTGGCACAGGGTACAGTATTTTTAGTACCCTGCAAAGATAAATTTTGAAAACCACAAATTTATCGCGATCCCAACCTGACCGTAGTTCCTCTCAACTGGAGGGCATATCGATAACCAAGTATGTTACAGCGTCACAAATTGGAGCGCGTGGAGTGCTTACAATGCAGAAAACAAGATATCCTGGTTTTCATTTCCACCCCTGCCTGTTTAGATCTGGGTGAATATCGTAGCAGCGTGCGGTCATGTATCACTAGCGCTTAAATCACGTTGAGGACCTCAGGCTGTCGGATTTGCTGCACTGACTGAATATTTTTATGTCCTGCAGAGACACCGGACACCCTCGGGGCTGAAAAATTTCCAGTAGTCTAAGAAACAAAAACTAAAGCAGAATAACTTTCATTCTGATTGGCAGTTCAACAGCTGAGACGTCAGCTGCATTTGCGCTGATTCTATACCTTTTTAAGTAGCATGTGCCGTATTTTTCTGGGTAGAGTATAGAGCAATCAATGACGCTAGTCGGCCAATGTACGCTTCCCGCTTGAACTGTGGCGGTTGTGGCTCATTAAGACAAGGCTCTGTCCCTTCGGTGCAACCGGGATAACCGCATGTCATTCACTTTGGTAAAAACCCCATTGTTTTGGTAGGTAATATGGTTGCGCTTGGGCGAGCGTAAGCAACTACACTATATTAGGAAAACATCTTCCCTTTGCCGTACTAGCGTGGCTAATACAGCGGGAATGCAGAATGTGATGTGTTAGTGTGGAGCAACCTTGCAGACATGTGAAGACTGGATAGGGCGAGGCGGGCCTGTGTCGTGCGAGGTAAGTGCGTGAGCGAACCATGGATGTGTCTTACTTGTTCGTTCCATCTTTTGCGGTTGCAGCGTACATGCGACTTTCTCAGAGCCTGTTGGAGTGCAAGACGTGTTAGACGGATCGTGCGGACAACAAAAACAACAGGAACGAGGCAGCGCTGAGCAGAGCCCTGGCGCCAGCGCGAAGCAAAAGAAAACCAAACGCTAAAACTATACCTGAAACCATCAAAACAAAGTTAACGTCTCGTTTAATCCTTTTTTTTTTTTTTTTTTGTGGTGTTGCTTTTTTTTTTTGGGGGGGGGGGGGGGGGGGGGGGCGTTCACGGAGCAGAGCGCCGTTGTATCCCCGTCGTAAGTAACACGGCGTTCTGCTGGCGGTCGTCCTGCTGACTCCCCTTGCATGGCGCGAAACCGGATGTGAAAATTTTCACGAAAAAGAACCCATTCTGCATTCAAATACTACGGGCATTGCTTATGTTAGCGGGGTGCAGAGAGTTAACTTATCAGGCTGTTAAAGTATTTTGTATCGGTGTTTTAAATATCGTTTTGATATGTACTGTTGTAGAGCAGTTGCTTATGAGTGATTTTGCTCTTGGAAATATCTATGTAGGACGCACATCCTCTCATTCATAGACGAGGAACACACAAATGACTTGCAGTCGCAGTAAAGAGGATACATTGGGGCACTGCCCAGAGGCTGGACAATGAATAACAAATATTTTATACTATTTCGGTAATGAATAAGACATTTAAACCTTTATTTGTGCGTATTTCTTCAATATATTTCTCGAACCATAGCCTGACGATTTTAACGACAGCTAAATGGGTTCTAAAAAGTTGCACGTCAATAAATTTGTCAATAAGTAAAAGCAAATTAGGTCACGTTTGTCCACAATTCTAACCAGCATTAAATCAATAATAATATAATGATGTTGCTTCTTTGTGACTTAATTTTATTTATTAGCTCTGTAAACTAACGCAGGTGCGCTGTGCGAGGCTTGACGTAAATTTTCTTGCAAGCACCACGTATCAAGATATTTTTTTTTCAGTCGATCTCAACTACTCGGCTCAGAAATCTCCGAGATTTTCGGATCAGTCACGGAAGTATACCTTCTCATCATTGGAGATAGATACAAACAAATTTTTAGAGCGTACGATGAATGGTTGATCGTAATTTACGCTTGCAAATTGATGAAATGACGGCTCTGGAGAGCTAAACTGTTCTGCGTAAAAGCTTGGCTTGTCAAAAAAAAAAAAAAAGAAAAAAAATGAAAACAGCTTATGCGTATCGGTCTTTGCGAAAGGGAACGAACGCCAATATTGTGATATAGTTGACAACTCATCGTTTTTTCGACAGTGAACGCGATGCGATAGCTCTCACGGGATACAATATGAGTAATGCACACGGCAGGACGAGAAAAAACCTAATGGTAAATAAACCGCGTTTTGCCCTCAACAAAATATTCTACAAGCATCACCCACACCAGAGGACA